CATATCCATAGAGAGTAGCTTGGTTTTATTGACAAGAGTTTTCCTCCCTTGTGAGACTTATGATAATATTTATTTATACACTGCATTCATTAATTGTCCCAAACTATTTATATTAATAGAAAAACGAAGGCAGTGTCCATTAGAGTTCAGTTCCATTTAAAATAATACTTATTTAATTTAATACAAGTATCTCACTCCAAAGTTTAGCACATAACTACATTATCAGCCTTTATATCACTATATGATCCAGCAAATTCATATTATTTACTATCACCTACTTGAATGTTTCAAGTCAGTCAATCAACAATGTGAATTCACACGGAAAGATAAACGTCAAGGTAAGTATAGATCTATTATTTAATCATATTTATAGCTTATTAATTGTTCTTTTATTATTTCAGGTCTATCCACAATTTCACCACAGAAGAAAAGAGCCAAACATAGTCACCGATTATTCAGGTAACCCTTATAATGTATTTGTATTAATGTTTGTCAATAAACAATAATCAACTTGACTCCTTAGTCTAAAGTATCCCTTACTCTATAGATCTATTTATTATAATATTATTCCATTTCTTGAGATATATATCTCTCAGTTCCCGTATAAGTATAAGTATACATGAAAATAATAGTTTCATTCTAAATTATAATCAAGTTATAACTGTGTGTTATTATATATTACTGTTTAATTAATTAATTAATTAATTGTTTCTCATAGACTAAATTCAGTATATTCTAGTACTGTCCAACAATTGTCGCTCAATTTGTATTTGATGCGAAAATAATCATTATCTCACTCCAAAATTCAGAACATAATGTCTGCATATAATCCGAACAATGCAATCATTTAATTATAATTCCTTAGCTAATCACTTATTTAAATGTTTCAGATGCCAGCCATACAGCAATGTGAATTTAACACAAAGAAATAAATGTCAAGGTAAGTATAAATTTTATTATATAATTGAATATAATTATAGTTCATTAATTGTTTTATATTTCAGGACTATCCACAACTTTACAACAGAAAAGAAACGCCACACAAAGCCACCAAATATTCAGGTAACCCTTACAATTTATTTACTAATATTCATCAATGAGCAATTTAAATTATTTGACTCCTTGGTCTAAGATTTAATTTATATTTGATACTAGTATAATAATCAGTTTCTTATTCCAAAATTCAGGACATAACTAAATATCAGCCCTTCTGTCTATATAAACCAAACAGATTAATCTCATTATTTATTATTATTCATTAGCTAATCACTTATTTAAATGTTTCAGATGCCGGCATTCACCAGTGCAAGATTTAACACAGAGAAAATGTCAGGTAAGTATAATTTATTTGAATATATTTATAGTTTACTAGTTGTTCTTTTATTACAGAACTATCCACAATTTCACAACAGAAGAAAATACTCACATCCACCAATTATTCAGGTAACCCTTACAATGTATTTATAATATTCATCAATAAACAGTTTAATCAACTTGCCTCCTCAATCTAAAAATTCTTTTTCCTTACACTCCAAGTCCAACACGCATATCAAATTTATCACAATATATCTCTCAGTTCATCATATAAGTATTAATGGAAATATTTCAATCTAAATCAAATAGGTTATCATTGTGTACTATTATATCACTTAGTACACCAAGCAATTCAAACCTTATTACAGCTTAGTCGCGTGCTTAATTCATAAATAAAATAATTATTACTATTTATATCCGTAATTAATACCAGAATTAATAGTAGTTCCTCAATAATAATATTATCCATCTTTTAATATAACTTATTATTAAGTGTATTATAGACAAAGTAGTATGCTTTCTTGAGCCTCAGAGATTTAAATTCGATAAATATAAGATCCCCCTAAGCAAAAATCCAAATCACACACACTCAACATACAATACACACAATGTTCGCACAGAACTTATATCTTTCCGACTCAAACTTAATCCTACAACTAAATCATAGAGTTTATTCTATTTAAGGTATATCAAATATATTAGATTAAATTAAATCAAAATAACAAGATAGAGACTAAGCTAAATCAGATTGGTACTATCTTATCTTCCAGTTCTTTGCTTCAATACATGTAATAATACACTACACGCAAACAGGAACACAAAGTCTTACTAAGTAAGTGTGTCTCAAGGGGCACATAAACACGACACGGGCTCCTGGTGATTCAGTGCATCCACATATATTCCAAGTCCATTACAAAGTGTTCAGTACACGAATTCCTTAAGACACTTTCCATAACCAATGGGAGATGATGAAATGTTATTTCAGTCCAGTCTTATTCCCGCAACATATCAGACATCCAGGCACATAACAGCAAACCGCCATATGTATAATTCCAAATCCGTTTTCCTTTACGAGAGTATCCGTTTAATGTCCAAATCCATCCAACATATAAGATTATTATGCAGTTTTCCCATGTAACAGAGTTCATATATAAACAATAGGTTAACCTGCAAAAAGTCAAAGTTAATAATCCATATACACAATAATCATTTTACAATTAAAGTCAATACAAAATAGTGCAAAATAACATTGTTCTTAGCATGATTAAATACTGATATCTCGTGTAAACAATGGTAACAACTGTCCATCAGCGTCCAGCGCATACAAGCATGTGTTATGTGCCTCATGTACACATAAACATGCAGGATGACACTTCACTCACTAAATAATGAACATCGCACCAATCTTCGCATTTGACACCCGAAACAACAGTCAAAATGCTCAATAATCAGTAAATAATCCAAGTTTCAACACAGATACAAGTAACATAACCGTTCCATATAGTTGACACATTGCAATCATGGTGAGCCATAAAGATGCAACCACATAGATGGGCAATCTCAATGACCCTTGCACAAAAGTCACTACATTATGCAGTTCATATTAAACGATAATAAATCATATAGGCTGCGTTCCGTAAAGCGCATATGTGCGCATGTATCCTTAGTATACGTTACGTTTACTATAGATACTTGCGCGCATATGCATTTTACAGAACGCAGCCATAATTAAAGCTTCGTATTCATGGTGTCGCTCGTCGCTCATATTCAGCGACAAATGAGTCACGTGATTTCATATGTCGCTAACTTTGACTATCGCTCGTGTAAATGGGCTAAGCGATAAATTTTTTACAATTATATTGATTGTGTTGTGCGTGTTGTGTAAAATAAATACTCTAAAATGTCATATCAAGAAAGATATCACAAGTGGATCTGTCAACTTGCCGCGATTGTGTATAATAAAAATGAAGAGGAACGACGGAGAAATAAATTAATAGTAGCTGTATGCATTAATGAATGTACAAATTTGAAAAAAAAATATAAAAAAAAGAGGTTTTGGATTGATCCATTATTTGAAAGACGACGTAAACATGGATTTTATTATGTATCTGTGCCGAGATTAACACCAGAGAAGTTCCGGAATTATTATTGTATGATAGCTACGCAATTTGAGGAGTTGTTACACTTAGTGGCACCTGCAATCACTAAACAAACCGTGATTAGAGAACCATTGTTTCCCGCAGAACGATTATCTATAACATTGAGGTTTACTTATCTTTATTTATAATTGCATTACGTCATTAATTAAAAAAATTATATTTGATGTAATTATATTTAGATATTTAGCAACTGGCGATTCGATGCATTCGATGTCGTATCATTATCTCGCTGGAGTATCGACAATAATGTTATACGTGAAACATGTAATGCTATATGGAACTCTATTTGTCGGGAAGTAATTCCACCATCAGAAACTACAGAGGAGTGGCTACACCTTGCTACAGAATTTGAAGAAAGATGGGATTTTAATCATTGCATAGGAGCAATTGACGGCAAACAAGTTATTATTGAGGCAATGTCACTGATCAATGCTACATTTATCATTGAAGAAATTACAAGTTTAATGCCACAATATTCTTTATTTATTCTTTATTTAAATATTCTTTTTATTTCTTTTTTAGTGTCCACCTAACGCAGGATCATCTTATTATAACTATAAGAATAGCCATAGTATTGTTTTCCTTGCAATCTGTGATGCACAATATATGTTCACGTTCGTCGATATAGGAGCCTATGGTCGCCGCAGTGACGGTGGTATTTTTAAAGATTCAAAAATGGGTCTGAAATTCAATTCAAAGGAAATGAATGTACCTGCACCAAAACCTCTCAGCCCAGGTGGACCGCCTTTACCATATGTTCTGGTGGGTGATGAAGCTTTTCAGTTGACAGATTATTTGCTCCGGCCTTATCCAGGAAAAGGTGGTTTAAATAATGAGCGAAATATTTATAATTATCGATTGAGTGGAGCTAGAAGAACAATTGAGAATACGTTTGGTATTCTAGTCAGCCAATGGAGAATTTTGAAGCGACCGATCAATTGTAGTATAGAAAAAACAATTTTAATTGTTAAAGCCATCGTATGCCTCCATAATTGGATTCGTCGGAGGGATATTGGAGAAAATAAATATGTTACTCCAACACTAATTGATCAGGAAGATGATGACGGCTTTGTTCCAGGTTTTTGGAGAGGTTGTATAAATAATACTGCATTTGCAGATATAATTCAGTGCGGTTCTAATAATAGTTCTCGTCGAGCAATGCAAATTCGAGAAGAATTTTGCAAATATTTTAATAGCGAAGGTGCCATACCGTGGCAATTCCATCATTGTAGTTTTATGATCATTTACTAATTGCATATATGCAATTTAAATGAAAATATGTAATATGACATTAAAAATTATAAAATGTAAGTGGTTAATTTAAAATTTATTATAAACTTTATTATAATAACATACAATCTTTTTTATAAACTTTAATATGCTTTTATAAACTTTTTTATAAACTTTTATAAACTTTGTTATATTGTATTTTACCAAAACAATAATAAAATGAAGCGAACAAATAAAACTTATACATACATATTTTGCAAAAATAGAATAATCAATAAGAAAATAAGAGAACTAAAATAATTAATAATCAATCTTCTTTTTGAAGTACATTATAAGTTAAGTTCATAATTCGTTGAATAACATCTAACTGATTCTTTCGATTCATCAATCTTAATCTGCATCCAATAACTGCTAAAGTCGAATCAATTTCATCGGGTTTGGGTGCTGATGGTATTACAAATGGAGTTGGTGGTTGACAGAGCGAATCGGCAATCCTTTCCAGTGCACTGGGCTGCTGTCCCATATTTTTTTTTTTTTTTAGGCGCACCTATAATTTATTGGTTGTTTATTATTATTATTAAAATATCTTTTTACGCTGACGCTCGACGTTCAATTTCAGCATTACAAGACATCATGTGACTAAAAATACAAATCTTTGCAGTATTTTCGACTACATGATGTCTTCTAATGTTGAAATTGAGCATCAAGCGTCAGCATATTATTTTTTGAAGATCACATTTTACTTTTAAACATTCAAACAGATATAAATATAAATCAAGTACCTAATACTTCTAACTCTTCATCATTATTGCCATCGCCAGTTGCATTATTTATTGATTCGCCAATACTTGAAGTGTCATCATCAGTGTCAATATTTGAAGCTTTTCCCCTAGAAATATAAAAATTACAAGTTAAAAATGAAACAGTTTGAAAACGTACCTAATAAAAATATTTAATTTTTACTTCTTGACAAGGCACAGATCGCGCAGAAACTCCATGGAGTCGTAATGGTGCCATTTTTGTGTAGGAGAAGGTCTAGCCGATCCACTGGGGTGATTTTCGGAATGAATTATTCGTCGGTAAACGTCATGTAAATTTTTAAATTTTTTTTTTGCTTCTTCTCCGCTAAGCTTACCTGTAAGAAAAATTTTTCTTTGAATTATTCAGCCACAAATATTTTTAATGTTTTTTTTACCTCCCAATGTTTCAGACACTTCATCCCACAATTTTTTTGTCAATCGTTGGCATCGCTGCTCTAGTGGAATAGTAAAATCCCAGAGAGATCTTCTTTCTTGAACGGATAAAATTAAGAGTTCCTCGTCGTCATAATTAAACGTAGATTTCGTAGCTTTTCGATTTATTTCTTTTATTGAGAGATCTAGTTTTATTTTCCCTTTGTGATGCTTCCTTATTTATTGTTGGAAGTATTTTAATAGTTCCTAAATTTTATTAGAAAATGCAGACTTAAGCCAGTAAGCAAAAACGGACTGTGTGTCATTGGATTAAGTTCTGTAATTTTCAGGATTTCAATCAAAATCACTATTTACCTGTAATGTGTTCACGAACTGGCAGAATGACATCTTCGTTGTCAACCAAGGCTTCGTCGAACAATGCCATCATCATCTATATAAATAATAATATAAATTTAATAAAATACTATTCTTATCAATGATAAAATGTAATAAAAGTTAAATATATATATATATATATATATATATATATATATATATATACTATATA